CGCAGGACGGGGCATGGAGTGTGGGTCGTCTGCGTTTTAGGCCCTTGGAGGCCGCACAAGGGGTGCCAGGAGAATCTCTGCTTTAAGAACCTGCGACCAGGCCCTGGTGCATCGAGGCGCCCACAGCCGACACACGGAAAGCATCTCAAGGCTGAAACCCAGAGCACCGCGAGGCCAGGGCTGACCTGACGTTGTCAGGAGCTGGGAGGCAGCTGCCATGATGGCGGGATCAGATGAGGGAACATGGGAGCCATGCCTGGGTGTCTGAAATGGGCAGGTTCACTTTGCAGTGAGAGCCGAGCTCAGGCCCAGCCCCAGGGTGCCTACAAGTGAGGGGAGGGGAGAGGAAGAGGCCACAGGTGTTCAAGGCCCACTCAGGCTGTGCTGTTGGCCAGTGGCAACGAAAGCGCGATTTGGGGCCGCTGAGCATCTGCAGAGACCTCGCGAACTTCACTGTCTCAGGATCAAGCTTTACATGCAGTGGACTTGGACAAAGTGAGCCAGGAAGTCCAGGGAAAAGGCAGAACGGGAAACCCCTGGGAAGGGGAGGCTGCTGGGCTGAGCAGGAGGGCGTGGAGGTCGGGCGGTGGCCCAGGACTGCTTGTCTGCAACCAGGAGGATCCCTTGCAGGGTGCTCTGAGCCCCTCAGCTCACGCAGCCCCAGCTGAGCTTACTGAGGGCCTGGGCCACGCCATCTGGAGGAGGCTTCCTAGAGAGGCTGGTTCTGTGGCCTGGGAAGTGCCAGCGGAGGCACGCCCCCAGCTGTTGACCCTGGGTGGTGCGCTCTGTGCACGGGGACCTCAGTTTCACAGCCTCCCCCACCCCATGGCTCACTCCCTGAGCAGCTCCCTCCAGTGACCTTCACTGGGGTGGACCCAAGGCCACAGGACCCCGGCTCCCTTTGTACGAACACCTCGCCGATGCCACAGCTATTGCTAGATTTAATAATCCACTGCAAACAGGGAAGTAATGGAATCTATTCCCCTTTCTACCCCTTGAGGCAGAAAGAGATTCTCAGGCCTAGGTCATCGTGGCAGGGCCAGCAGAGCGGCTGGTGAGTAACGGGGGCGGGAAGCGCATCTACCCTTCTTCGTGACATTTGAGTCTCCGAGAGCTGGCTCCTGTCTGGTCTTGGGGCCCATGCCCACCCACCGTGAGAGACCCCCAGATCCCGAGGCAGATCCGTCCCGACGCCCTCGCACCCCGGACATCGCATTCTGTGGTCAAAGCTGTTTCTGTGCCTGGATTATCACAGCAGCCACTTCCTGTCACCGGATGACCCTCAGCTGGACCGCGTATCCCGAGGAAGGGGGCTCTGGCCACCAAAGGGACCCCCACAGAGGCAGGGCTGGCTGTGTGTTCCCATGGGGACCTGGGGCTGGGAGCAGCTTCTCCTCGGCACTGATGGGGGAAGAGCTCCATGTCCCCAGCCCCTGAAGCATTTCCAGGTAACAGACTAAAACGACTTCAGACAAAAAGACCTGACAAGGCCCAGTGATTTGTCATGTTTTATTTTCTTGTTTAAAAAAATACTGACTTTGGCAGGTAATTTGGGAGTTTGTAACTTGGTTTTCTTTCTCCAAAGTGCCCATGGCCCCACACTGCCTGCTCCTATCTGGGGGTGTAAGTGCACCCCTCACGCAAGCTCCAGGCCACGCGGACGCCGCCTTCTAACCAGACCTGGGCAGGGTCCCCATGTTCCGGGCTCGCCTCTCTCCACCTACGATGCTGACATTTTGGAATCACCTCTTGGAACTGCGAACCTTCCGGGTACCAGATCATCCCTCAGCCCTCCCAACACGCCTTCCGGGAGATTAAATTCAGGCCGCAGTTAAACAAAAACAGTGACAGACAAGCCGCTCAGGAAGCCTCTCTGTGGGCGCGTGTGTTCCAGCCTCTTTAATTGCAGACGACCTTTTCACTTTGCTCACCGGGCAGCACCCCGGGATGTCAGGAGGGGCGGCCGGCAGGACTCCTCGAGGTCTGTGCCCGCTCCGTTCATGGAACTGATACATTCTGGTGGGAACTCTTCCCCATTTAATGCCTGGTCCCGCTAGAGAGGGTGAAGAGAACTCTCCCTCTGGGCCCCATCACAGACCATCAACCAAAGGCTCAGCCCCACCTGAGCCCGGGGCCCTCTGCACTCAGATGCGTGATTCCCGAAGGCTGACCGCTGAGACCTTCTGACTTGAAAGGAGAGACGCCAGGCCACAGCCTCCCTGGGCCGCCTCCCTGCGCCACCTCCCCCAAGCAGCCTCCCCGCGCTGCCTCCCTGTCCTGCCTGTGGGGATGGCAATTTTGAAGGAAAACCTAAAATGAGACTTGATTTTACAAATGTGTACATGAAAGGAATTCCACAGCTGGAGTTTCAGTGGGTTCATTTTTGTCATCTTGTGCATTTCAACAGCACATTTCACGACCCCAAGAGTCTGCCCCTCACCGCCGTGACCCCCGGGCGCACAGACCCGAAGCTCACTGGCACAGTGGAAACCTAGAATGCGAACAACCCCCCACACAACAGTGTGGAAAACGGAAAAAGTAAACCAAGAGAAGCTTTGAGTCCGGCCGCGGCTTGCTAACCTGCTGTCCTCCACCCACACCCACCCGTCCTGCCTCCACTCCAGGTCCTGCGGAAGCAGAGCTGGCAACTATCTCTCAGACCCCGTGGAAGAAGCCGTCCGAGCTGGACCCCAAGACACAGATGCACAGCACGGAGGATGAAGGTCCTGGAGTGGCCTTGGCGTCCTCAGACCGAGCCGGGGTTGCAGGGGCAGGAGGTGCAGCGGGGACGCCGGACGGAACACAGATACGTGGGTGCTGGTTTCCATTCATTCGTTTATTTATTTAAGAACCACAATGACAGTGGCCTCGAGGTAGGCACAGTGTCAACACCAGGGATCTCGCCCTGCGGCAGCCTAGGGGCCCTGCCTGAGGGGCTCACAGTCTGGTGCAAGTTGTGGTCATAGCCCTCAGGACCAGGTGGGGTGACAGGGAGCTGGGGAGCCCCTGGGGGCCTGGTCAGTGTACTCGTGGGGGCCTGGGATGGTCACCCAGGGACTATGGCGCTACGTCCAGGAGAGGAGAGACGACAGAGGAAAAGAGAGGGAGGACGGGCGAAGGCTGGTGCCCAGGGCGAGCCTGGGGAACCTGGCCTGTGTTGAGCCATGCTGGGGCAGATGGCGGGTGGAGGGTGCAGCCGGGACACTGGGCGGGGGTCCAGGAGAGACGTCCACGCCGGGCACGGAGCTGAGAGGGGAGCTGAGGCTGACCGAGGCAGAAGCGCGGCTGGTAGGACAGGACGGCCGGCTGCCAGGTGGGGTGTGGACAGGAGGTACCAGGAGCGGCTCAACCCCACCGGCTTCATGCTGTGGCCATGGTCCTGGGGGCCTCCACCTCCCGCCTGTGAAGGGCAGGCATGCTCCCCACACACCCCTTCTTCTGCCTCTGAGACGCGTGATCTGTGCTAAACTCAGTGCTGCTCAAACCCACGGTGGGGACTGCCGGGTGCCGAGCAAATAAGAAAAAAATTAATGCACTGCTCTGGAAAGCAGTCCTTCTCTGTAAGGCCTAGGTTTTCTTTAAAACATTCAATTTCTGGTCAACCACGCTTGAAGTTTAATTAGGACACAATCATTATATTTTCAGAAAAAGATGAAATATTTTTTTCTGTAAGATATATTGTACTTTGTTCCAAGAACGAGTCGGGCTCACCAAGTGTGGGTGGCACAGATCATGTAAACCCGAGGGGGGTCCCAGAACGTGAGGCTCTTCCCCACAATCCCAGGGGGTCCCAGACTGTGAGGCTCTTCCCCGCGAGGGCTGGGCTGGGGGCTGCCCGTCCCCGCTACAGCTTGTCTCACAGACACTCTCAGGGGACAGCGACTTTACAGCGAAACCCCATTTTCCACCTGTTGAGAGGCGTTTCTAGAGCTTGCCCGACAAAACGGGGAGTCCCAACAGTTCAGTGTGAACGTGGGGATTCGAGGGCTTTCTTAGAATCTGGTCTATTACAAATGCTGTTTATGTTCAGAGAAAATGGAAACCTTCAAAACACCTCGATTTTGCTAAGAAAACGCGGCTGCTTTTGCAATCAGTTTGCAGTGTGTAATTTCCCTCTTGATGATAGGAATCTCTGCAGTTTTTAGAAAAAAAGCGATATAAAAAGATTGTTGATGTTAGCTAGGCTTACCCAAAATACAGTAAAACTCAGGATGACAGCTAACTCTGTCCTCTCCGAGCTGGGGGGTGTGGCCTGTACCCACAAAGGAAGCCCGGGATGGCTTGGGGGACACCCTTCTCTTCTACTGGTTCAGGGACTGAAAAAACAAACTCAATGGTATTTTCTTTAAGAAAACACCCTAAAGGTTAAAAACAGAAGCTGATTTTTTTTTTTTTTTTTTTTTTTTTAGTGAAAAGGAGCCATTCCCACGGCGGTTAAGGGACAGCCAGGTTGAGGAGAAGGTGCCCCAGCGTGGATGCCCATGGTCCCAGGAGATGAAATTACCCTTGGAGAAGTGTGTTGGGGACGTCCGCCCAGCACAAAGCTCATTCACCATCCTTAAAGACCACATCAGGACTATATGCTTAAAAGCAAAGTTTATTCCTAAAGTTGCCTGCAAAATAGCTGTACCTATTTGCCTTCTCACCTGAAGCAGCTTTAGGATGCAAATGCACACCAGGACCCCCTCAGTTTTTTGGAGCAGAAGAGCCATGTTTTCCCCTGGGCTGTTATACATTCGCAAGAAGCAGAATAACCGTGACTATCTGAGTATGCAACCCCCCGACCAAACCCCAACAGGGACCAAGGAAAATGCATCCGAAAAAAGCTTCCCTTTTCCTTTCCTTCTCAGGGAATCGATGACTCAGCGTCACTAACGGGACACCACACAGTTAAACGTGCAACACGCCATGCTGCTTTACGGCGACGTCGTTTCTGCGTCTTTAGAAAAAGCACCCCACGCGCTCATTTTCACTGCTTAAGGTTAGAAAGATGGCGTTACCGTTGGCGGGAAGGTAGGTGAAACGCTGGTACTGGCTTCGCTTTCTCTTCCCGTTGCAGACGTAGAAACTGACGTGAACAGGGCTGGTTATCCTCTGATTCCGAAACGGCGGGATCTCAACCACCAGAGAATTCTAGAGGAGAAGGGCACACAGGAGGCACAATTAGCACCCGGCAGGCGACGGCTGCCACGCCACGGCGGCCACACAGCAACCCTGCGTTTCCATGGCGGCGCGGGACGCTGTGACAGTAAACTCCTGACTGGCCACCTGGGCGTCCAGAAGCAGCCGACGACAGCCCCGGACGCTCTGTGCCACCTGCACTTGTGTGTGGACACTCACAGGGAAGGGATGCCCTTGGCTTCTTGCACACCTAGGAGCCGAGAGGCTTCCTCAGAGCAGTGGAGCAAACAGGACCAACCTCAAGACTGAAATCTTGTCAATAGAGGGAAAGAAGCCAGGAAAAGAGAAGCTGTGAACAGAACTGGGACCTGAGGTGCCTGAGGGTGGAGGTTGCCCGGGGCCACCTGCGCAAGGGGCCTGGTGGGGATGCAAAAGGCTCTGCCTACTCCGATGCCAAAGGGTTGGTGACCTTCAGAAAACGACCCAAGGCCCCATCGCTGGCCGCTGTGTGATAGAAGTGGTTGGTGGCCCAGTACCGCTCAGACGACTGCAGTGAACCCCGGAGGAGCAGGTGCATCCTGGACACGCAGTCTCAGGGGAGGGCCTGTGTTTGTCACATTTGATGACGGCCGAGGCCCTCAACCAGACCCCAAATTCACTCCAACTGAGGAAGAGGAGGTGGACCCTGACCCCCGCAGACCCCGGGGTGGGAACAGCCAAGGGCACGGAGGCACAGACAGCAGAGGACGGCATGTGGAGGCTGCCATTACCATTTCATGTTTTTAATATGAGTCAGCAGCACGTTTACAAAACTCATGCTCTCCCAAGTACACACACGAAACGCAAGCCATGGGGTGTGGCACTGTTCGCAGAGGTCGGGGCTGGGTGCGGGACTGGGACACAGACATCCCGACCGCTTGCTCAGGCCCCAGCGTTACTCGGGGCTCTAATGACCCTAAATGACTGGGGTGATGCGGGCATCCCTGCCGAGGGCGACACTTGGTATCTGGGGAGAGGCTTGGTGTGAGTCGCATCTATAAAGTTTAATTTTTATAATCATATGACTTAGTTTAACAAGCAGGAGAAAAATCCATTGTATTACTTCTTTTGTTAAAATAATTAATTATAGCACAGCACCTAGCTTAATAGCTAAATTGATTGAATCATGTTAACAACAAAATCTTGTGAGTGTTAAAGACAGAAAACTGAAGATAACTTCAGGTCCAGGTTCTCTCATTTACAAATAATGAAAGAGCTGAGGCCCAGACACCGATGCAGAGGGGCCATGCTCGCCTGTGCCCCCCCCCTCCCGGGGCCCTGTGCCTTGGGGCCACGCTTTCTCCTGGCAGCAGGACTGTGTTGTTTAATTAACTGCAGTTCATTGGGAAGCAGCAGAAGCCACGGCACATGGGCGTCTTCCTGCCTTTGCCCCTCATCAGAGCTGCCCCAGGAGAGCTGAAGCTGACACTGGAAGGACCGCAAGTTCTGTCAATGCCCACGGAGCCTGGGCTGCCCCCAGAGCACTGTGGGTCTGGGCTTCGCCTGGCCTGGCCATCTCCTAGGCTGACCTGGGAAGCTCTGACCGCCCGGAGCCTGTCCTGGCATTTGTATGGGGGATAAAGAGACGCTTCCTCCAGGGCTGTTTTCTGAATTCAGCAGCGCTCAGGGCAGCTGCTACAGCAGGAGGGTCTTTAGAGCAGAAGCAGCTGAGGGAAGAGACAAGAAGGAAACCTCTCACGAGACTAAAATAAAAACGGGCCGGGAAGCGCTCAGAGGCAGTGGCGAGAGGAGTGGAGGCGGGGACCCCGTGGGCCAGGCTGGATGGGCGGAGGCGGGGACCCCGTGGGCCAGGCTGGATGGGCGGAGGCGGGAACCTGTGGGCTAGGCTGGGGTGGAGACGGGGACCCCATGAGGCGGGTTGGATGGGCGGAGGCGGGACCCTGTGGGGCAGGCTGGATGGTGCATACCAGTTTTCCTAGGTCCTACCTGACTGGAAGGGCCTGTGTTGATGTGGGCACAGGCCAACCCACTTCATCTCTCTAAATAGACAAATTATATGACAAAAATACTATCTCCGTGGGAGCTGCCACTTAAATACACAGAGAAGGAAGCGATAAAGCAGCAACACAGAAGAGCAGGAAGGGAGAGGGAAACTCGTCCGTACCGGAAAAAATACAGGCTCCACACGGCACCAGCACCCACGCAACCTGCTTTAAAACTCCACTGTTGAGATGAGACTCATACACTTACTTACAGAAAGTACAAAAACCGTAGACACAGCACATCCCATTTTGTTTACACACAGGCAGCACGGTGGCTCACACCTGTCATCCCAGCACTTTGGGAGGCCCAGGCGGGAGGATTGCTTGAGCCCAGGAGTTCAGGACCAGCCCGGGCAACACTGCGAGGCCCCATCTCTACAAAAATTTAAAAATTAGCTGAGCAGGATAGGGCACACCTGTGCTCCCAGCTACTGGTGAGGCTGAGGCATAAGAATTGCTTCAGCACGGGAGGTCGAGGCTGCAGTGAGCTGTGATCAAGTCACTGTACTCCAGCTTGGATGACAGAGCAAGATCCTGTCTCAAAAAAAAAAAAAAAATACACACACACACACAGAAACACGTATGTACACAATATAATGTATGTAATGTGTGTATGTGTGTGTGTCTGCATGAACATCTATACACAAAGCAGCAAATGGAGCAGGACGCATGCCCAATGCCAGCAGTCGTTATGTCTAAGTTGATGAGACTACACTAGGTTTTATTTCCTTTTTTATATTGTCCAAATGTCCACGATGAGTATGAAGTTCCTTTATGATGAGAAAAAACATATATTAAAGCAAACTCCATTTAACAGATTAAAAATGAAACAGGAGGCCAGGTGTGGTGGCTCACACCTGTAATCCCAGCACTTTAGGAGATCGAGGCAGGTGGATCACTTGAGGTCAGGAGTTCAAGATCAGCCTGGACAACATAGTGAAACCCTGTCTCTACTGAAAAAAATACAAAAACATTAGCCAGGCATGGTGGCTGGCGCCTGTAGTCCTAGCTACTTAGGAGACTGAGGCACGAGAATCACTGGAACCCGGGAGGCAGAGGTTGCAATGAGCCGAGATGGAACCACCGCACTCCAATCTAGGTGACAAAGCGAGACTGTCTCAAAAAAAAAACAAAAAAAAACCCAGTAAACATGAAGTACATAATTTTTCACATGTGCTCTTAAATTTCTTTTAAAACATACAACTGTTAAGCTTTCTTCGAAATATGCTGGTGTCAAAAGTAAAACAGAAAATCACAGAGAATGTGGATGTCGGCTTGGCTGGGATTGTTTTCAATGCGGAAAGGCTCACAGCTCCTCCAGACTGCTCTCCCTGCCTAGGGGGATAGGGCAGGCCGGCTCCAGCGTCCTGTGTCCCACATCCTGTGTCCCGCATCCCACGTGCATGTGCGGGGCTGGTGAAGCCTGTGGAGACCCTGACAGAGCCAGGGCCAGGGAGGGTGGGCAGCATGAGGCCAGGCACCAGGCTACGATGCCCACAGGCAGAGGGACAGAGAGCCAGGAGGTCAGTGTACCCAGCACAGACGCAGAGCAGAGCAAGGGCAGCTCAGTGGGAGGAATGAACCAGACACCTGGTGGGCGGGGAGGCCCGGTGACGACCCGTGAGCAGAAGCTGCCAACCCCCTGGGCAGCTGCAAACCCCCGGCCAGCGGGGAGCCACAGACCTTCTGGGCACAGGAAATGGCTGTGGGCAGGAGAGGCCGGTATGGACACGGCAACGGGCTGCAGTAAGGAGGCCAGTACGGACACGGGAATGGGCTGTGGGGAGGAGAGGCTGGTACAGCGGCTCAGGCTGCTTCTGCCTGTGGCCGGCCATTCCCAGGATGCTTCTGAGCACCCCGACCCACTGGCCGCGGGGTAGGCCGAGACTCCTTCCTCTGAACGCCGGCCTGCCCTGGGGCCTCCAGCTTTTCCTCGAGGGGCTTCTCAGGTGAAGGCAAGAAAAGCGACAGCATTGAACCAGAGCCCTAAGCTTCAGGGGAGGCCTGAGCACCACTGAAGCTGCAGGTGAGCTCACTTCCCCCAGGGCCAGAGGAACCTTTTCCATCTGATAACCACTTGGAAAGGGTTCTGGGAAGGGGATGGGCCCTCGGGGGAAGGGCGCTGAAGTCGCAGGGTGGAAGACGTGGCTTTCTGACAGAGCTGCCTCTCGGGACAGGGAGTGAAGGTGCCAGCACCGCTCTCCATGGAGGCCACCGACCCACCAACAGGAGATGACCTCAAGACCCCTCCCCGGTGTCCTGTCCACCTGCCTCCAGCTGCCCGAGATCGGCTCTTCCCTGAGGTTTCTGAACGGATCAGCTTCCACCTGCACACACTGAGTGGGTGCACAAGACTTCCCCGACCCCTAGGGACACACATTGCTGAGCTTGGAAGCACGTTCATGTCTTCAAAACCCCCTTGTGAGCCATGTGGTATCTTATGTTGGCCTAAAGATTTCTACTGCTTTTATACGACTAACTAGAACACTCAAAGAATCCAGTGTAGGGATCAATCCAACTGTATCAATAATAAGTAAACATCAGGTGGGCACAGTGGCTCACGCCTGTAATCCCAGCACTTTGTGAGGCCAAGGCAGGTGGATCACTTGAGGTGGGGAGTTCGAGACCTGCCTGACCAACATGGAGAAACCCCGTCTCTACTAAAAATACAAAATTAGCCAGGTGTGGTGGTGCACGCCTGTAATCCCAGCTACTCGGGAGGCTGAGGCAGGAGAATCGCTTGAACCCGGGAGGTGGAGGTTGCAGTGAGCCGAGATCACGCCACTGCACTCCAGCCTGGGCAACAAAAGGAGACTCCGTCTCACAAAACAAAAACAAACAAACAAAAACAAACAATGAAACATCAATGGTCTACATGTGCCAATTACAAGACAGCATCAGAGAGGATCCAAGACACCACCAAGAAGACGTTGCCTCCAAGAAACCACTTTAAACATGAACACTTGGATTATGAGAGACACACGCAGCAGCCAGCACCTCATGGGAGATGTGGGAGCAGCGACAACCGTCCAGACAAAAGGTCATCTCCATGACTAGCCAATCTGAGGACGGTCATTATCCTCAGGCACCCACCACATGCACATGGTGCCAGGGAAGCTGTGGCAGGTGACTAGGGGTGCTGGAAACGGCCCGATGACAGCAGAAGCGTGACCCGGCCATGCGTCTGCCACGGCCCCATACACGTGCACCAACCGCTAACAGGCTGCGGCCAGTCGCGAGTCCGGGAGCCACGCCCAGGCTTTTGTGCCTGAGTCACCATCACAGGAGAGGTTGGTGCGATCGGCGGCCTCAGAGGATGGGGTGAGGAGTCCCCATGGGGATGCCGCAGAGCCTTGCCCTCGGTGCTCTGGGTCTGGGCAGGTGCTGGCCACGCCCCGGGAACTCAGCACAGCACCGACTCCCAGGGGCCTGCTCTGTGCCAGGTGACGGTGACAGCAAGGGGACAGCAAAGGGCGGGAGGGTCCGTGTGAGATGACCTTCCCTGGGCTGTCTCAGCACCAGGATGTGGGAGGCAGCCCTTGGCCTGCCCGGCACCATCCCCAGCCGCCAGGGCTCTGACCTGACCCTGACAGGTTGGGTGCAGTACATGGTGCTTCGGCAAGTACTTGGCGATTCTGTTTGTTACTGGTTCTGTTACCCTATGCATTATTTTTATTTGTTTCATTTTAACAAACAGGAACCCCACCTTCTTGAGGCCCTGGGGACCCACAGTGGCTCCAGCAGACCCCAGCCTCCCAAGCCCTGGGGACCCGCAGTGGCTCCAGCTGCGCCAAAGGCACTCACCGGCTTGCATAGGTCACGATCGGTTTTCGCTTCCATCTCCCAGACGTGGTGGCCATCTGGAAGAAAGGAGCAGGAAACGTCTGTGACTTTGTGTGGCGGGGAGCCCCCTCCCCGAAGCCCCCATGTGATCCAGACCCAGGGCCCTGAGCCCGGAGAGAGACCCCAGGAGACCCACGTAGGCCCATCCCAGGGCTTTTGTTGAGGGCAGCGCCTCAGGACCCATGTGCCCAGGCGGGGCCCCAAGCTCAACCCAGAGTTCCCCTGGGAGCCTGGGGAAGCTGAGGACACGTGGTTCAGGACTTGTTCTGACCCCAGCCCTGGGTGGGAAGGACTACAGGGCAGGGGCATCCTCAGGAATCTGTCCTGGCCCTGCATCTGCTGGCCTCTCACAGCCTCAGGACAGGTCACGGGAGGGTTTCTATGCCCCCGTCCTCTCCAGGGAGAGCAGGTGTGAGGGGGAGCAGGTACCCCATCATCAGAGCGCGTGCAGGGCATCTGTGCGTGGACCTGAGGCCCGGCTCTGCAGTCCCTGGCCCAGCCTCCAGGGATGCAGGAGGTGTGAGAGTGGTGACAGGGGGGCCGGGGGCTCCACGTCAGGGTGCGATGCCTGCTCGTGCTGGGGTCTACGCTGGTGGAAGAGGGCCTGGCCGCTGGCCCTGCCTCTGTGCAAAGGAACCACTGGGTAAATGCGAAGAGCCTTCCTCTGACAACTTCTTGCCCGTCAGGAGACAGAAATGCAAAACACAGGTATTTTTAGCCTTTCCCCAGTGGCTATTTGCATGTTTTTAAAAAATGAAAAGGCTCCCAGAGGTGCAGTGAAAGGACGCGTTGTTCTCTCTGCTCCACGCCCGGCAGAGTGGGGACTCCAGGCGCACACGGACAAAGGCGGCTGCACCACAGCCTGGCCCCTCAGATGGGCTGAGTTTGGGGCAATTATCTCAAACTAACAGATGTCAATCTCCCACAGTCTCTTCCTCTCTTTTATCTTCTCCAAAATAAAGTCCGCTCCCAAAATGAACAGTTACAGGTATACATACACACTTAAGTTTATCCTTATGCTCTCTCTCCAAAGAAGAAAACGTGTCTGTTACAAACCCTCAATTACTGACAAATCAGACCAAATCTCCTTTTTCTCTGTTACAGTGCCGGGCTGCTGTCTGCGTGGAGGGTGGAGAGAGGAAATGTGAGTCACACAGGACCCCAGAGCCGCCCAGCCGAGCCCCGGCCACGCCAGCCCGGGACGCCCGAGGTCCCCACGCAAATCACCCACCAGATGAGCCCACTCGACAGAGCCTGGCATCCATCTCTCCTCTGGGAAAAAAATAACAGGGAACTAAAACATACACTCAGTTGCGCTTGAAGGCATCTGAGTTTCACGAAGCAGCAAGGAGCTGGGAAGAAAGAGGCGTTTTCACCCCAGCACAGGTGCTGGTGACGGCGGATTCCCAGAAGCCCCCAGCCCAGATGCACCCGGCGGCTCAGAAGCCCCTCCACCCCCACTTCATAACAATCGAAATCACTCTGTGTGTAGCTAAGTCTTCGGGCTGCTTGGCACCTTTTAAAAACGCCTTTTGGAGTTTTCTTATGACAAAGCCCATCTTTGGGGTGAAGCCCCGTCTGCACCCCACAAAAGACTGTGGTCCTCTGAAGCTCCAGGGCACCACAGGCTATGGTTTGCTCTCTGCCCAGCCCAGAAGCTCAGAGTCACAGCTTCAGCTTCCCCAGGAATTTCCCTGAGGCTGTGGAGGCCTTTGGCGCCAGGAAGGGGAGGGAGGTTGATGGTGCTGAGCAGGAGGGACACTGAGGCGCACAGGGCCAGGACACTGCGTTTAATGACACCCCAAGGAGACGCCATTTTTGCAGCCGAGGCAACACAGCCTGTTCCTCTCTTTATGTCCCGAGAAGGGAGAGGGACTCCAGCCGTCTCCCCATGGCCTCCTTCAGGCGGCTGCCCCACAGCAGTGAGTCCATGAAAAGCAAATGGAACGACGGCATGAAGGTGTCTTTTCCCTCCAGTGCCTCATGGGCCTGTGGGGAACCAGCCTTGCTGGAGCAGCCCCAAGGGGAGCCACGTCTGCGTGGCCAGCCAGGCCCAGCTCAGCACCTGCCACGGAGCAGCCTCCACCACACACCTGGGAGCGCCCGCCCAGCAATCCCCGCGCAGGTGGGAGTAGATATGCTTAGACTTCCCCTGAAAGTGTGGGGAACCGACGAACATCCCTGCTGTCCTCAAAGACCCTGGCTGAGCCAGCGCCTGTGGCCTTCCCCCTCGGAGGCAGGGCCTCTCCCCGTGGTCTCCGACATCTGTGGCTGTTTCACCGTCGACCAGGGTGAGGGTGAGGGCAGGCTTTCTTTTTCTGCTCAAGGCTCATAAAGTAACTCTTTCCAAGGCAATATATATTCACGGCCAGAAATGTCTCTAGCAATTGCTTCCAGAACAAGACAAAGCACTGAGGCTGCCGAAAGATGCAAATAACCTCGCATCTCAGGAAAGGAGACGCAGGGCCGCGTCCCGCTGGCGAGAGCATTGCCATGGAGGCTCCCGGCTCCGTGGAGGCCCAGGCGGGCAGGGCCGGCCCCCGCGCTGTTCAAAACCCAGCCCCTGGCAGGAAGGAAGGCAGCCGGTCCTGAAAGGGCCTTTGTGTTCAGCCTTATCAGAGCTCCGAGTCCTCAGTAGGAAACTGCCTGAGTGCAGGAGTAAAAATATTCCAGATCATTAGGGAATTCCCTGCAGTCTGAGTCATCGGGAGGCTTCCCTGCCACACCCGCGAGGTTTCCACACAGGCAGGCCTGCGGGCCCAGGAGCCTCCCAGACCCGCCAGGACCCGCCGTCT